TTTTTTTTTTTTTTTTTTTTAATTTTTAGAGATAGGGTATCACTCTGTCACTCAGGCTGGAGTTCAGTGGTGTGATTATGGCTCACTGCAGCCTCAAACTCCCAGGCTCAAGTGATCCTCCCATCCCACCCTCCTGAGTAGCTGGTATTACAGGTGTGTGCCAGCACACCTGGGTAATTCTCAAATTTTTTGTGGAGATGGGGTCTTACTTTGTTGCCCAGGCTGATCTCAAACTCCTGGCCTTAAGCAATACTCCCACCTTGGCCTCCCAAAGTGTTGAGATTACAGGCGTGAGCCACTGTGCCTGGCCAGAAGTTTCAATTTTGATCATGTCCAATTTATCTATTTTGTAGTTGTTATTTGTGGTTTTGGTGTCACATCTAAGAATCTTGGCCTAATTCAAGGTCATGAAGATTTACTCTTTATGTTTTCTTCTAGATGTTTAGTTATATAGTTGGAGCTCTTATATTTAGGTTTCTGATCCATTTTGAGTGAATTTTTATATAAAGTGTGAGGTAGGGGTCCAACTTCATTCTTTGGATGTGAATATTCAGTTGTTCCAGCACCATTAGTTGAGAAGACCATTCTTTCCCCATCGAATGGTCCTGGCACCTATTTTATTAGATTTAAATCTAAAGAACCACATGTAGGTTGGGCACAGTGGCTCATGCCTGTAATCCCAGCACTTTGGGAGGCCAAGGCTGGTGGATCACTTGAGGTTAGGAGTTTGAGACCAGTTTGGGCTCAAATATGGTTCCACATAGTGGAACTCTATCCCTATCAAAAATACAAAAAATTAGCTGGGCATAGTGGTACATGCCTGTAGTAGGGAGGCTGAGGAGGGAAAATTGCTTGAGCCCAGAAGGTGGAGGTTGCAGTGAACTAAGATTGTGCCAATGGACTCCAGCCTGGGTGACAGAACAAGACACTGCTTCAAAAATAAATAAATGGATAAATAAGAAGCATATGTGACTGGCTACTGTACTGGACATCACAACCCTAGGTTCAACTGAAGGAGGTCCACACAGCACCCCCTGTGTATAGACAGTCATACACGTGCGCACACGCGCGCGCGCACACACGCGCACACACACACACAGTACTTCCCCATTGCACAGAAAGAGTCATTTTGCAGATTTGCACATACATGGATCCAGACACAAGTACTTGGATATTCATGGCGAGCCTGCCTCCTCTACCCCTAGGCCACATTCTAGACAATTTCTGCTTTCCTGACATGGGGGCCCCGGGAGAGGAGCCTGGTCCTGACCTCTCTCCCCTTCATCCTCCAGGGAAATCAGCCTTACACTGGGCTGCAGCTGTGAACAACGTGGAAGCCACTTTGGCCCTGCTCAAAAATGGAGCCAATAAGGACATGCAGGATAGCAAGGTGAGCCCCAGCCCTTGGTCCACCGGGGGTCAGCACTGGCACAGCGCCACTGCACTGCAGCCTGGGCATCAGAGTGAGACTCTGTCTCAAAAAACAAAATAAAACAAAACAAAACCCCAAACATTGCATTAAAATATAATTTACTTTGGTAACTAAAGTTTTTGGTGGCCCCTTAAATTTTGTGCCTAATGGCTGGGTGTGGTGGTTCACGCCTATAATCCCAGCACTTTGGGAGGTCGAGATGGGTGGAATACTTGAGGTCAGGAGTTCGAGACAGCCTGGCCAACGTAGTAAACCCCTGTCTCTACTAAAAATACAAAAATTAGCTGGGTGTGGTGGTGCACACCTGTAATCCCGGCTGCTCAGGAGGCTGACGGAGGAGAATCGCTTGAACCCAGAAGGCTGAGGTTGCAGTGAACCGAGATGGCACCACTGCCCTCCAGCCTGGGCGACACAGCGAGACTCTGTCAAAAAAAAAAAAAAAAAAATGGTTATGCCTAAGGTGAGTACCTCGCTTAACTCACCCAGTCCTGGCCTTGACCCCTGGCACTTAGTAGGTGATGGATGAATGTGGTTTAGAGGAAAGAACTTTGTCCAGGCTCTCCCAGCGCAGCCGGGATTTAACCCAGCCAGGTCTGTCAAGCTCCAGTGTGCAAACTCATAGCTCTCGGGCTCCCCCAAGAGGCTGGAAGACTTTGCTACTCTTAGCCGGGGTTTTGCTGACCTCTGTGGGTTCTGGCCCCCCAGGAAGAGACCCCTCTGTTCCTGGCCGCCCGCGAGGGCAGCTACGAGGCTGCCAAGCTGCTGTTGGACCACTTTGCCAACCGTGAGATCACCGACCACTTGGACAGGCTGCCGCGGGATGTAGCCCAGGAGAGACTGCACCAGGACATCGTGCGCTTGCTGGATCAACCCAGTGGGCCCCGCAGCCCCCCTGGTACCCACGGCCTGGGGCCTCTGCTCTGTCCTCCAGGGGCCTTCCTCCCCGGCCTCAAAGCGACACAGTCGGGGTCCAAGAAGAGCAGGAGGCCCCCTGGGAAGGCGGGGCTGGGGCCGCAGGGGCCCCGGGGGCGGGGCAAGAAGCTGACGCTGGCCTGCCCGGGCCCCCTGGCTGACAGCTCAGTCACACTGTCGCCCGTGGACTCGCTGGACTCCCCGCGGCCTTTCGGTGGGCCCCCTGCTTCCCCTGGTGGCTTCCCCCTTGAGGGGCCCTATGCAGCTGCCACTGCCACTGCAGTGTCTCTGGCACAGCTTGGTGGCCCCGGCCGGGCGGGTCTAGGTCGCCAGCCCCCTGGAGGATGTGTACTCAGCCTGGGCCTGCTGAACCCTGTGGCTGTCCCCCTCGACTGGGCCCGGCTGCCCCCACCTGCCCCGCCAGGCCCCTCATTTCTGCTGCCACTGGCTCCGGGACCCCAGCTGCTCAACCCAGGGACCCCCGTCTCCCCACAGGAGCGGCCCCCGCCTTACCTGGCAGTCCCAGGACATGGCGAGGAGTACCCGGCGGCTGGGGCACACAGCAGCCCCCCAAAGGCCCGCTTCCTGCGGGTTCCCAGTGAGCACCCTTACCTGACCCCATCCCCTGAATCCCCTGAGCACTGGGCCAGCCCCTCACCACCCTCCCTCTCAGACTGGTCCGAATCCACGCCCAGCCCAGCCACTGCCACCGGGGCCGTGGCCACCGCCACTGGGGCACTGCCTGCCCAGCCACTTCCCTTGTCTGTTCCCAGCTCCCTTGCTCAGGCCCAGACCCAGCTGGGGCCCCAGCCGGAAGTCACTCCCAAGAGGCAAGTGTTGGCCTGAGATGCTGGTCAGTTCTTAGATCTTGGGGGTGCTAAAGAGACCCCTGTCCTGCCTCCTTTCTTTCTCTGTCTCTTCCTTCCTTTTAGTCTTTTTCATCTTCTTCTCTCTTCACCAGCCCTCCTGCATCCTTGCCTTGCAGTGTGACCAAGATAGGTCATCAGCCCAGGGCTTCAGTCTTCCTTTATTTATAATGGGTAGGGGCTACCACCCGCCCTCTCAGTCTTGTGAAGAGTCTGGGATCTCCTTCCTCCCCACTTCTCTCTTCCTTCATTCTTTTCTCTCTCCTTCTGGCCTCTCATTTCCTTACATTCTGACATGAATGAATTATTATTATTTTTCTTTTTCTTTTTTTTTTTTACATTTTGTATAGAAACAAATTCATTTAAACAAACTTATTATTATTATTTTTTACAAAATATATATATGGAGATGCTCCCTCCCCCTGGGAACCCCCCAGTGCCCCCGTGGGGCTGAGTCTGTGGGCCCATTTCGGCCAAGCTGGATTCTGTGTACCTAGTATACAGGCATGACTGGGATCCATGTACCGAGTACACGACCCAGGTATGTACCAAGGAGGCACCCTTGGGCACACCCACTGGGGCCAGGGGTTGGGGGAGAGTTGGGAGCCTCCTCCCCACCCCACCTCCCTCACTTCACTGCATTCCAGATGGGACGTGTTCCATAGCCTTGCTGGGGAAGGGCCCACTGCCAACTCCCTCTGCCCCAGCCCCACCCTTGGCCACCTCCCTTTGGGAACTAGGGGGCTGCTGGTGGGAAATGGGAGCCAGGGGAGATGTGTGCATTCCTTTGTCTCCCTGTAAATGTGGGACTACAAGAAGAGGAGGAGCTGCCTGAGTGGTACTTCCTCTTCCTGGTAATCCCCTGGCCCAGCCTCATGGCAGAATATAAGTATTTTTAGGCTATTTTTGTAATATGGCTTCTGGTCACGATCCCTGTGTAGCTGAATTCCCAAACCCTGCATTGTACAGCCCCCACTCCCCTCACCACTTAATAAAGGAATAGTTAACACTCAGTGTTGTTGGTCTGTGTCTAGGTAAGGTGGGGAGTGGTGGCAGTGGGACTTCTATCTCCCCCACCCAGCGCTAACTTGAGCTCCCATCTTGGGGTAAATACATTTGACTTGCCAGTCTACTTATGCTTCCTCTTTTGGCAGATGACTACCGACTGGATCAGTGGTGGTCACCTGACTTAAGTTGAACCAATCAGATTCTTTTGCTCAAGAACCTTCTTTAATGGAGAGGCTAAGAAACTGGTCAGTTGGTGGAGCTCTTAAGGTCACAATTAGATTTAGAAATATCAGTGGCCAGTTCGAGGTGGTGGGCAAACAGATGAGCAAAGAGGGCAGAAGAATGAAGCTAATATTCAGGGAGAATCAGAAATGAGAGCTCAAATGACTCTTTGAGGGCTGGGAGGTTTCTCTCAGCTCTCAATGCAGTCTCAATTCCAGTTAAATGAGTGTTCATTCCATTGAGATCAACAGGTATTTGTTAATTGCTTTCTAAGTGTCTGATGATGGTTCTACATGAATTTCACTTTTACTTCATGCTCCTTTGGGTTTTGGAGATAACCTTGGACCCATGTAATAAATACTTCTTTACTTGTGCCAGCTTCGGTGGGTTTCTGTTTCTCACAACCAATCATGCTCCAAGACAAGGTTCGGTTTACACTGGTGTCTTCAGGAAAGGAGGATAGGATTTAGTGTTCGTTGATTCTGTCAGTTGGAGTGCTCCTGGTTGCAAATGACACAAAAGCCTCCTGGCTTAAACAAGAAAGGGGTTTATTAGCTCATATAAATTAAAAGGACCAACTTCAGGGAAGATTTGATCTAGTGGTTCAAATGTAGTCAACAATGGCTCAGTTTCTCTTCATCTCTACAACTTTCTCTGGGTATCAGTTTCATCTACATCCTCCACATGGCACCCAGTACAACCTCTCTTCCCTACATCACACAGCTCCAGCCCTCTCTCTGTGTTATCAAAATAGGTGCCATATTGCTCTTTCCAGGGGAGAGAGAAACTTCTAGTATTTTACTTTTATTTACTTTCTTCCTGTTTTTTTGAGATAGAGTCTTGTTCTTATCACCCAGGCTGGAGTGCAATGGCACAATCTCGGCTCACTGCAACCCCCGCCTCCTGGGTTCAAGCAATTCTCCTGCCTCAGCCTCCTGAGTAGCTGGGATTACAGGTGCCCGCTTCCATGTCTGGCTAATGTTTGTATTTTTAGTAGAGACAGGATTTCACCATGTTGGCCAGGCTGGTCTCAAACTCCTGACCTCAGATGATCCGTCCACCTTGGCCTCCCAAAGTGCTGAGATTACAGGCATGAGTCACTGCACTCGACCTTGTGGTTGATTTTTCTGTTTACTCCAATTGGTTCATGTATCCACTCTGTAACCTAAGGTTTCTTAATTTCAGCATTATTGACATTTGGGGACAAATCATTCTTTGCTGTGGGGAGCTGTCCTGTGCAATGTAGGATATTTAACAGCATCTCTGGTCCCTACCCATTAGCTACCAGCAGTACCCCTTTCCCAGTTGTGACAACCAATATAACATGTCTCCAGATACTGCCAATTGTCACATGGGAGGCAGAATCACACCTGTTGTTTTCTTAAAGCATGTCTTAAAGTCTTTTCTTTGGAACTACTGGTGTGCTACATTTAGGGGCAATCAGGTTTGCAGAAGCATGAATTTTGTGGAAGCTTCTAATAAATGTTTACTCCTCCCCACCCCCTTTAGACTAAGTCTTTGAAGATGAAACAGTCTCTTTTATGTTTTTCTCAACTTTATTTTATGTTTATTCCCTTACCCTCTAACCTTTATTGGGCACCTACTGTGTGCCAACTCCCGGACAAGTTGTTGAGAATAACATGGTGAATTATACAGGCCCAGTCTCTGCTTTTATGGAATTTCAGGCTTGTTGGGGGATGTATGGGGGGTGCACCCCTGTATCCCCTTGGAACTTACCATTCTAGTGCTTGCTTACAGCATCTGACTGCGAACACCTGAGACTCTCCACCTGGGGACTTCCTCTTGTGTGGGGCAGGAGCAACCCTCAACATATGAGGGATGAATGAGAGATGGTGGATAAATACCCCAGCTTCGTCACCACTCTCTGGGGGAATTCATGGATATGATGCACAGAGTCTCCCAACGGATGCTCTTTGGCATTAAGCCCCAGTTGCCCACAGCAGCAACCTACTTTTCCTCAATCCTACTAGAGCTTTCTGGAATGATCTTGTGAATAAATTCCTTGCACTGGAATCATTGGTCCAAGAGGAGTCCATCTAGCTTTATGCATGAGTAGATTATTGGGAATAAAAAATAAAATATCTGTTGGAGCTTAAGCAAGTTTGGGTATTCTTCTTCCCAAGTGCTGTACAAATGCGGAGAAAATCATTCTCCCTACCCACTTTGTCCACTCTATCATGCAACCTTGGCTTTATGTCAACAGAATATTGAAGAAGAGTGTCCCACAGGAGGAACCTACTTTCGTACCTCGTGGAGCTGACTTATTTGTAAGCACATGTGAGACTCATCTGTACTGGGAGCTCCCTGGAATGACTGCAGGAAGGATATTAGGTTGAGGACTAGGAAGCCTGCATTGGTGATTGGGGAAAATTAACTAATGAGATTCGAAGATTCGTATTTATGTGATTTCATTGGCATGCTGAAGTTGGGAAGGGTTGGGGACTTTGGAACTGACATCCTAGTTAGTTTCTTGACTGAGAGGACAATGATAAACAGCTGAGTGCTTTTTGCCTCCAGATCTGCACTCATCTTCCTCCACTCTTTTCTGTGCGCTGGGAGAATGACCCAGGTGGATGGCATTAATGGGTTTCCTTACTCTCTGCCTTCCACTTGGGTTTGGCCAATGAGAGACACAGGTGAGGGATTAGAGGGTGGAATGTATTTATCTCCCTGGCTACCTGCCTGCAGGGTACCTGCAGTGCTCTCCCTCCAGCTACCTACCCTCTGTGGGTCTGGGTTATTGTTTCTTCTGGTTGGCCCTTTTGGCCTAGAAGCAATAAAGTCTGTCCACCATTGTGAGCCCCAAGGTATAGTAACATTCCTTGCCTACATTCTGTGCATGCTCATCTGTCTAGCATGTCAATCGTTTACCTATTATCTATCTAGATCTATCATCTATCGTTTATCTTTCATCCATCTATATCTATCTTATGCTTCTCTGTCCTCTGTTGTCTATTTATATCTATGAATCTTTCTATTTTTTTATCATCTTTCATTTATCTATCTTTCTATCTATCTACCAATCTTTCTTTCCCTTTTTTTTTTTTTTTTTGAGATGGAGTTTCACTTTTATTGCTCAGGCTGGAGTGCAGTGGCATGATCTCGGCTCACTGCAACCTCCGCCTCCTGGGTTCAAGCCATTCTCCTGCCTCAGTCTCCCCAGAGCTGGGATTACAGGCACACACCACCATGCCCAGCTAATTTTTTTTTTTTTTTTTTTGAGATGAAGTTTTGCTCTTGTTGCCCAGGCTAGAGTGCAATGGCACAATCTCGGCTCACTACAACCTCCACCTCCTGAGTTCAAGCAAGTCTCCTGCCTCAGCATCCTGAGTAGCTGGAATTACAGGCATGCACCACCATGCCTGGCTAATTTTTTGTATTTTTAGTAGAGACAGGGTTTCTCCATGTTGGTCAGGCTGATCTCGAACCCCAACCTCAGGTGATCTACCCATCTTGGCCTCCCAAAGTGCTAAGATTACAGGTGCGAGCCACCGCGCCTGGCCTAATTTTTGTATTTTTAAGTAGAGACGGGGGTCACCATGTTGACCAGGCTGGTCTTGAACTACTGACCTTGTGATCCACCTGCCTTGGTCTCCCAATGTGCTGGGATTACAGGCAGGAGCCACTGTGGCCAGCCTTATCTGAGCTTTTCAAAGCCTCCATAGACAGCTCATTCCCTAGCTTTTGGTTTAATCTATTTGTCTCAACTGTTACTCACTGCCTCAGGCATCCATGAAGCTAAAATACTTTCCTGTAGCTGTTGTCAACAAAGGATCCCCAAGTTCTCGAGAAGTCTTTTTGCATGGGTTTATCTCAGAACCAGGTCAAATACAGAGAGCTTTGCAAGTGGGATCTTGCAGGGAATCACTAGCATGATAAATAATGACAATTCTTGGCCTGGTGTAGTGGCTCACACCTGTAATCCCAGCACTCTGGGAGGCTGAGGTGGGCGGATCATTGAGGTCAGGAGTTCGAGACCAGCCTGGCCAACGTGGTGAAACCCTGTCTCTACTAAAAATACAAAAATTAGCCAGGCGTGGTGGTACGTGCCTGTAATCCCAGCTTCCTGGGAGGCTGAGGCAGGAGAATCGCTTGAACCCCGGGAGGTGGAGGTTGCAGTGAGTCAAGATCGCACCGCTGTACTCCAGCCTGGGCAACAGAGAGAGGCTCCAGAGGTTCCATCTCAAAAAAATATTAAAACAAAAACAAAAATAAAAAAGACAATTCTTTGGGAATGAGACTTGAAAGGGTTCTGGCTCTATTTTGCTTTCTCTGGTGGATGTCAGGCTGCACCAGAGTTTGGGATGCTATTTTTCAAGATGACTGTGGAGCTGGAGAGTGGGGGATAGGACCAGATATATTAAAATGCTAACTAGTATGCTGTTCTCACTGATATTCAGTAATTTTTTGAATACATGCTCTCAGAGTTGCTGCAAGACTTTAGTTAATTTCTAGAATTCTCAAAAATTTAGTCTAACAATTTTTTCTAGCTTTTTCATTTCTTTATGGAGGACATACTTAATGGAGGTCCATACTCTGACATTTTTTCTGACATCCCACCTCACATTGGTTGATGACGGATTGTTAGATTTATGCATCTGGAGCTCAGAGTGGATGGCTGATCTAAGATGTAGATTTGGGGAATATTGGTATAGAAGTGATATTTAAAACCATATGATTGTACTAATCAGTTAGAGAGAAGACAGTCAAGGTTGAAGCCATGAGCTGCTTCAATATCAGAACAGCAAAAGTACAGAAAGAG